GTACCTCTAGTTGTAAAAAACACTATGAGAGTCACTACTATCACACCCATTCTACAGATGAGGAAACAGAGATTGTTGTAGAAAACGTCACACACTGAAGTCACCATGGCCCGGTTAAGATTCAAATCCAAATCTTTCTAGCTTAAATCAGAACGATTATATTCTATTCATGATCCAAATGGAGTCTTTAAGGACTAATTCAATGTCATTAATTGAACTTTATAAATGTCATAAATTGAACGTTATAAGTTATTTATTATGTATTTATGTTTATAATGTATATTATAATATATTAATTAAATATAATTATTAATCAATTATATTATACAATAATTTATGCTTATATTTATATTTATTATATATAATTACAAGTATTATATTAAAATAATATATCCCTATATTAATTGGGATCTAAGAAAACATGCAAAGTCTTCTCAAGCATTTTTAGCTAGATATTTATTGGAGCCTTATAGAAATATTCTGAAACATTTCTTTGCAACCGAAACAAACTTTAAAATTTTAACACCACACTGAGACGTAAGACTCTAGACTTGTGTCTAAATCCCATAAAAGCCTAATATCCCAACAAGCATGTAGGGAGGATGTGGGACCTCTCACCTGCAGTAGCCTTGAAATATCCTATTTAAGTGCAATCATGAGGCTATGTGAAAATCACTCATTTTTCAAAGGCTGACTCAAATAGAAAGTTTGGGCAGATATATTATTTTGAAGATCCGTCTAAAAAACTATGTAATGAGTTATCCAGCAGTACAACTAAACCTTGAAGGCAACACTTGTAAAGCCAGTACTTAGTAACTCTTCCCGTATAAAATGATGAGTATGTCTAGTACCCAGCTCACGAGACTGTCTTTATTAAAAGTAACTGGCATAATAAGACAGGATGATGGCTATAACAGCTCCTATTTTATTGAGCAGTTACTAGATGGCAGGCATAGTGCTAAATGCTTCACATAGATGCCAAATTTAATACTGGCAGCCTCAGTGAGGGAGGCACTATTATTACTACAGCCACCTTACGGATGTTGAAAAAGCAGCAAAACAAAACATCCATCTCCTGCTTCCCGGGGTTCCGTATTCAGGGATTGCTGCTCAAGAGAGAAATCTGAGACTTGCTGTAGCCTTAGGATGAAGTTTAAACTCTAAAGCTTAGCATGAACAGTCTTTAAAGATCTGGTCCCTGACTACCTACCTGTTTATCGCATCATCTTACTATGACCCTCCCCCACTTCACCCTTAATGCCGGTCCTGGTGAACTGTTTCATACAGTCCTGTCCCTGCAGGACACACGCCCATTTCTGGGCATCTGCAGAGACAAGATCTACTCATTCTTTAAAACTCAACTCATCCTGGAAACACCTTTGCTGATATTCTGGTTAAATTTAGCTGCCTCTCCTTTACACAAGTTCCTGTTACAGAACCTGTCACACTGTGATACAGCCACTGAACGGCTGGTCTGTTTTTCCCACTAGACTTTAATCTAATCATGACAGGAACTAATTCTTTTGATATCGCCAGCACTTCACACAGGACCAAGCATACAGTGGGCACTCAAAAAATATTTTTTGAATGAATGACCATATCTTAAGTGGCCACTCTATTCTCCTTCAGACTTCCTGCTGGAAAGAATCTGGCAAACAGCCATTTCATACAATACCATAATGTTCAAAATTACTAGAAAGACTTCTGTGCAGGGACTTAGGGAATCTAGGCTCTTGTCCCATGACGGTCATTTAGTAATTAGATGACCTTGGAGATTGATTCATTCAACAAGTTTTTTTTTACGCATTTGCCATGTGCTGCGAACTGTACACCACAATCAAGCAGCAGCAGTGGACGCAAGAGGTAACGACCTCTTCCCCCAGAGACAAAAGTGCAGAGCTGGATTCCTCACCATGGAACCGAGGAGCTGGACCAAGGTCCTTCCAGGACTCAAATTCCCTGAAACGATTAGCCAAACCTCCAATTCCTTAAAATCCGGAACAGAAACACAGGAAAATATCAAGTAAAATACAACACAGGCGAATCAGTTCATAACCTGCCTCTGATATAACTAGTCTAGGAGTCTTCATTCTTCCTTCCCCAAACAGAGATCTTATACAGAAGTGACACTATAAAACATCTTTTAAAGATTAAGTTTGATTTGGTCTGATACAAAATATTGGAAGTCTCTCTGCCTGTAAGTAGTAGACCTGCCAGAAACAAAAAGGGGGAAGAAATCATTTCAGGGCAATTAACGATGATTAGAAAGGAAGTTCCGTGTTACTCCTTGGGAAGGTGAATCCATCCTGTGTGTCTAATGTAGTCACAACGCTAGAGAACAATGTGCTCTCTAATCAAGTTTGATTTGTGTGACGTACTTTTTGGTTCATGGTAATTGGACACAAAAAGGTAAGACGTATTATTAATGGACAAATGACACAGTAAAAACTAAATCAGCCTAGACTCTCAGCTGCTTCATTATAAAATCAGGTAAGGAAGGTCATAGTTATTTAATTTGTGTCCAAAGCTCAGCTGGAGAATGTTTTAAATGAACAAATGAAGCAAGTAATTTTAGGGGAAGGGAAAGTCCTCGGAGCCAAGTTTATGAATCCAATACTGACAGACGTAATTAGCGTTCTGTCATCCTAGAGGTGTTTGGGCAATAGATCTAATTTCCTAAAGATACATACTCAGTTTTCTTTTTTTATCGTAACTGAGTAAAACATATCAATTCCTTGTCATGCTGTGATCATAGGGTGTCCTTTCTGACACACCCCTCAAACTTGTTGACATTAATGGTCGCTTCTGACATGGGCACTGAGCTATGATAAAAAAATAGACTCACTAAGCACATAAAACTGGGTTTGTTCCTCCATTAAAGTCAGAAATCTGAAATAGCCTTTCAAGTTAACATCGTAAGTTTCCTCATGCTGTAGATGAGGAAACCAGGGCCCAGACAGGTGAACAAAATTACTACAAATCTGACGGTTGGCGGGTGTTGGAGCTGTGACAGGAGAGGTCCCCTGCCCCCAGGCCGATGTTCTTCCTATCATTGTATTTCGCCTTTATGAGCTGACCTGCAGCTTACAAGCTCCCCGTTCATTACCCTAAACCACAACAGCAAGACCCAGTAGGAGTGGTGGGGGGCAGTAGAGGAGCAGTGCAGGCGGTTGGCTTCTTTTTAAATACCTCTGCATGCTTGTGGGAAGAGAAACATCAGCTTGTTTGTAAGTCTGCAGCAGGACTGGTATGCTGGAAATGAAACAGAAAGCTTCCCTCGTATAACTCAATTTGGGAGCGTGAATAAGCTGGATTTCCCCATCTGGAGACCCTGCGACTTGACAAGCCATACAAATTAATATGAGTGTATGGGTCTGCGGCCTCACAGAAATTAGGTCAGGTCCAAAGAGGAATCAGGTGGCTGACCACAAACCAGAATTCTAATGTGGATCCAAAACAAAGGGCGGAGATCTCAGGCTGTAATCCACCGAACAGCATGAGGACCACATGAGAGAGTGTGATGAGGAAGCCTTCAGGACAGTTATAAAAAGGGAAACAATACTGAGGGACAGAAAATGTTTGAATCCAAGTACAATCCAGACTTTGATTCTCCTTTTAATCAATTCTTGTCTTCCTCCATCTCATATTTTCTCCTATTGCCTTTATGCAGGATACTTTTGTTTTCATTCTACAGTTTTGTTTCTCCCTTGACTTTGTTTCTGAATAGAAGGTCCACAGCAAACATAGAAAAAGCACTGTGATAAGGAAGATAAGAAAACCATTCTGAGATGAAAGTTATCAGAACGCATCAATTTCTTTGTTTAGCTCAGGGACAAAACTGAGATGTGCAGGAGCATTTTTAAGAACCTAGAGAAGAGATTCACTCCCTTGAACTGCTTTCTTAAGGTTTCCAGCTCATTCTCCGAAGACGCCCTCTGAAGGCTTTGTCCATACCCAATGGTGAGAGGATGGCATTTCTGAGACCCTACCCAGTGACGTTCAAATGGATCCCGCACTAAATGCTGGTGTAAGAAATTAGAGGAGTATTCTCTCTTGGGAATCTCCTGTGGCTTTATGCCTGTGCAGAGGTCTGAGCTTCGTTAAAAAGTCCAAGACTGGTTTCCGAAGGAGAAGATAAGTGAAGGGTTTTCTAGCTAACCAAGAAACAGATTCTTTGATTAAATATCAGAGTAAGAAGAAAAAAAATCCTACATAAAGAACAATGACAATCCTCTAAAAAGAAAGACTGTGAGAAGGATGCAGAAATTTTAGGATAGAGGGTTATGGCATTCAGAATTTTCATTTTCTATAAAGTTCTTATGTTTCACATTAAGTTTAAAAATGTGTTCATGTGCAGAACATTTCAGAAATCACTTATGCAGAATTATATAACACTTGGAAAATCTCCCTTCAGCTCCCCTGCATTATGGGGACACAAAATCTTACAAATTGTATTTGTTAACACCCAGTCCTCTGTACCAATACAAATTATCAAAGTATCCTAAATGTGGAAAGAGCGTTAGTACAATACTGCTCTCTCTTTTTTTTAAAGGAGAAAATAGTAGAGATTATCTTTTCTATGAACTCACCACCTCTGTTACAAGTGATCATTTTTCTATGATTTAAAAATATTGTAACAACTGGCCAGATACCCAGTGATTTACTGTTACTAGCTTGCCATCAAATATGTTGAGATAACATCACACATTACTAATCTAAACATTTCTACAGCCTTGCTGGTCATTTAAAAAAGTTAACCCATTGCAAGTTGAACCTGTTGCTCTCTGAACAAAAGAATCCAAGGTGGTTCTAGAAAACTTTCTCAAAAGAAATCACTTGTACTGTGGACCCTCCCCACTCCCCCCTCCAAAAAAAAAAAGATGAGGCAAATCAACAGTCAGATGACACATACTTAGAGACTCATCTTTCACCTCCTCCAAAGTCTAGACAATCTCCTTGTTCACTTAAAAATGGAAAATGCGACAAGTGTGAGCCCTTACCAACTTCCCATTTCAGAAGGCTGTTGTCTTCCCTCTCCATTTTTCCAATGACATACCAGATACACGCCATCCAGTGCGCAAGGAGGGCAAACATGGACATGAGCAGGGTCAGGACGATGGTGCTGTGCTGGGAGTAACGGTCCAACTTCTGCAGGAGACGCAGAAGTCGCAGCAGCCGGACGGTCTTCAGGAGATGCACCAGAGACACCTGCGGTGGGAGACACAGCCGCACAGCTTGGCTCGTGGGGTCACTGCGGCCACAACAGGTACCGTAGCTGACGGCCACCCTGAGAAATTCTTGAAATTAAGTATAATTGGGATTCCAATGCTTGGGTCACTTTTATGACCATTTCTGCGTAATTTCTTGACATGTTACACCGGACGGGGACAGGATAAAGGATGATAAGACAATTTAATTTCTTTGCATGAATACTTATCTTCCTTCATTAGGATTTAGCTTTTTTCTCTGCCTGAATATAACTGGACATATCCTGATATACAGCTGAAATGCTTTATAGGATTAGGATTGGATATGAGATGTCTCTACCCCTTTCTTTTCATTTCTTTCTACATGTTCTTCCAATTCCACTTCCCCTCCTCCTACATGTGTAAGGGGAGGGGGGTGCTTTATAAGAAAAATTGGTATAGATTGAAGTAAAATCCTGTGAAGTGGTAACAAAATTAACTTAGGTTTCTTATTTTTAAATAATCAGACCTATAAATCTTGAGTAAGATCTGTTGACAAACACCAGTAGCACCTCCTGCCTCGTGTTTTACTAGCTTCTGTCTAACATTATCAATCGACAGAGAAAAACTTTGCCTGAAGCATAGACATTCTGGGCTGTCTGTTAAACAAACATGCCCAGGGAACCAAAATTAAATGGAACATAATTTTAAAAAAATCTCCTAAGTCCTGCCTTTGTACGAACTAAAACAACAGACTGGTAGCAAAGGGGGACTCAACTGAAAAGTGTGCAGCATTTGTGTCCACCAGAAAGGTCAATGTCACTGTTAACAACATACACGGTAGTCTAAAATACACTCTTTTCACACCTTCCGAGAGCCTCCAAGAGACTCCTGAATAGAAAAGTCAAGTAAAATGCAAACAGAGTTTGACAAATTCCTTGACCCTTTCTGATTTGGAGGCTGAACTATAAATAGAGAGGAAGGAAGGAATTTTTAAGACTACACCTAAGCCTAATTTTTCCTATATGGACAGAATTTTATGATTCTGGTCATACAAGGTCAGCACTTTTGAGACTTTGCCTTTATAATTAGCTCTAGTCAACTGACTTCTGGTTTCTCCTTCCACTAACCATCTTCCCTTATCGCCAAGAAAAACTTGTACCTAGAACAGTGCTTGACACATAGTAAATGCTCAATAAACTTGTGTTAAACTTATGTTAAATAAAAACACTCCAAGCTCCCTGTAACAATTAGATATTCCATAAAAGTGTTTTCAACTGTAATCTTGAGAATTATTCTATACTGAAATATAATAAAATCGTAGGATCATTTGAGGAAACTGCCAGGCAGCTGTGATCTTTTATTCCTTTTGTCACCCTTTTGTGTAGAGTTTCTTCTCCTTCCCAGCCAACTTCTCATCTATTATTTCTCCTGCTGATTGTAAGCCAGATGCAGCCTCTACTTTGTGGCTTAGAGGGACTCACTGGGAGTGAAGTTTGTTGTATAGGCAGGTGAATTTGATAGACAGATGACAATTTTGTACGTAGAGTGAACCCTGGATGACACCATCTGCTATGGACTGAGCTGTGTCCCTGCAAATGTCATGGGCTGAAGCCCTAACCCTCAATGCCATGGTGTTTGGAGATGGGTCTATGGGAGCTAATTTGGTTTTAGATGAGGTCATGAGGGTGGGGTCCTCAAGATGGGATTAATGCCTTTATAAGAAGAGGGCAGAGAGCCCTGTCTCTTGCTCCCCACCCACCCCAATGTCTCTCTCCCTCCCCTCACCGTGTGAGGACCATGTGACGACACAGAGAGAAAACAGCAGTCTACAAGTCAGGAAGAGAATCCTCATCAAAAATCAAATTGGCTGGAACCTTGATCTTGGACTTCCCAGCCTTCAAGAGTGTGAGAAATAAATTCCAGTTGTTGAAGCCATCCAGTTTATGATATTTTGTTACAGCAGCCTGAGCAGCCTCAGACAGCCTCTGAACATACACTGGTGCAGGCAATCTCCTTATTTTCTATGGCCACAAAGGGGATGTTTGTGGGAAGAATGTGGGGTTTCCCTTACATGAGAACAACAGTCATTTGCAAAGATAAGGGACATGAGCCTGGGTCTCCAGGATGAGGCAGCCCTGGTGATTCTGCTAGCACTTAAAAACATATATATATATATACACACACACACACATATATATATAGATATAGATATATATTTCCATCTGAGTCAAACATTTCCTGCTGTATAATGTGAACTTTGGCTCTAGATGAATGACAGAAGAAAGAGGCATATTTGATTTAGCTGGAAATACATAATCTGAAAAAAGAAAGCATTCTTTTCACTCTGGGGCTGCTGCTCAGAATCTGTCACTGATGAGAATTATAAGCACCTTGTAGACAGGGGCTAGACAGTGAGTGATGCATTCGTCACAAACCGCTATCAAATGGTGCTTCCCCGTGTCACCTACTGGACATGACCAACTCCTGCCTATCAGCTGGGGAAGGGAAAAAGAGAACGAAAAAAGTTAATCAACATGTTCTGAGGGTCTTCTGGGTGATAGACACTTAACAAGGTGTTTTATAGAAATGTTGCCTTTTGGGGCTGCTCAGAAACTCCGGACGAATTTTTATGCTCATTTTAGGCATATTTTGATGTTAAATTCCCTAAGGAAGTCACTCAGATGGCAACTTGGATTCCTACTTTTGCCTTTTTCACTCTGTCACGCTTTCTACGTCTCATTCATAATTCTCTCTCTCAGAGTGTCTTTCATAGTGACTTACACATAGTAGGTCTTAATAAATAAATGTGTGAGCTGTGTATGAAACATCTGCCCTCAGCAGTTGTGGGCAGAGCCAGCGCTAAACCTTGCAATACGTTTTTGATGGCTGTAATGCATTTCTGAATGTCGTCTATGCAGATGCACCCACTGAACCCATTTCAGCTCTGGAAAATCAGTACCTTGGTTTGTTTGTTTCTGCTTTTCTTTTTGTAAGTCTTTGTAGTGTAACAATAGCGATACTTATCAACTTTTCCTCCAATCTTACGCTTTCCTGTGAAGTAAATGTAATATTTTGAACAAGCTTTTCTATTCAAATAGACTATTTCATACTGACTAATTTATGTGGGGAAATAACAAATTTATATGCCAATTTGTTAAATGATCCTATGGTCAGCCCTGTGAAAAACAGAAAAACTGTCACTGATTAGAGAGAGATTCCTTCCTTCCTTCCTCTTTTTCTTTCTTTCTGGCATGGAGGTTGGTCTATAACTTGTTTTTTTAATAAAGAATTTGTGCCGTATTTCACAAGTGAGAATGAGCAAAGGGAGTGGAAGTGAAGTGCAGGGTACAAGAGCTTAAAATTCATCAAAATATGAGAATTAAACTTTTTCAAAAATTATTTACATTAATTTTGGGCTATAAAATGTTAATCCTATCCAAACATACGTATTTTTAACTTTGCATTATATAATATACATATTTAAAAGTATCTTATTTGTTCAGTGCCCAAAGAGAAATGGAATATAAAAAGAAATTACTAGTATTTAGTTAGCAAAGAAGCAAGTTAATTTATAGCAGCATCTAGGAAACACCGTTTATTTAACAATTCTCCAGGATAATTTGGAAAATTTTTCTTATCATTTTGCAGATTATATACTTCCTTGGGGTTTTTTTGGCAGCCTTGCAAGTTTTAAGTCATTACACTTTCATTATAGTACACTTATCTAGTCAAATTCAGTCTTGAAAAAGCACTTTATAACTTGGGTAACAATTCAGTTTAGCACTGATTGATATAATACACTAGATTTCCCCCAGAGCTTTCCTTTCAGCTGAGTTATAAACCTCTTAAAGACGTTGACACTCAACTTCCCAACTTAAAAAAAAGAAAGAAAGAAAAAGAAAATAAAAATACTATTGTACATGAAATTGACAAATGCATAAATCTGTACTAAATAGTCAAGATTACAGTCCAATCTTCGTTCTGAAGTCAATAATGACTGTATCTGAAACACTGATCACTGTGTTTAATATTGAAAACTGTACTTTTAAAATTCTTGAGCGAGAATATAATTTCTATGAGGGGTTGTCAACTGAGCAGGAAATACGTTTAACTCTGAACTAATGTTTAGTAAACCTGCTAAAACAGGTTACTTTGGCAGCAAATTGCATTACTGGTCCAAAAGTGTGATTATACCTTCCTAAAAGTCACTCTGTTTATAAGGGAGCACTTAATGCTTTTAAGAATATCAATCATTTTAAACAGTAAAAATAATGACTACTACAAATGGGCATACATTCTTCCCTGTGACAATACATGAGAATAAAAGCTTTAGATGAAGAAAGAGAAGTTACAAATATCAATAAAAATTCAAGAGAATGCTTGGTTTATGTTGGTAATTTCATCATTTAGCATTTTGCTCAATCCAACATTTTTACAAGGACTTCAAAGAAGGGGTTGAATTCTCTTAATTTCAGCATTTCTTTCTATCTTGGTAGGTCTTCAGTTTGTTTTGCCAATGAATAATGAAATATTCAAGAGAGAGAGAGAGAGAGAGAAAAGGTTATAAAAGTAGAAGAAATCTTCAAACTCTCCACCAAATTCTTGGGGCAAATATTTGGCTGAATAATACGAAGTAATGCTTATATTCCTGCAGATGGTTCCCTTATCAAAGGATTTGCTTAGTGAGTCAGTACTGATGACACATTCAGGCTTTTTAATATCCTGCTTCTAGGTAATGAAATTATTAGAAACAGGAAGTAACTTCTTTAAGTGGAAAATCTGGCCTACACATCACTGGTCACCTTGGCTTCTTTATCAAAAAGGGCACAAAATCCTGGACATGCAAATTGCCACAAACATTTAACACCTGAACATGTGAAAAATACACACAGGAGTAAAAACCAACCTTCCAGGCCACGTGGGAGGGAGCGCTGTACTCACCACGGTGACGTTGAAGGCGTACAGGAGGTCGAAAGGCAGGGCAGCGATTAAATCAATGATGAACCAGGTTGTGACATAGTGGATGCAAATTGATCTTGCTTCAAAGATAACTTGGCCAGACTTGCTGACATAGGTTGTTCGAAAATTTAAAATAATATCTGCTTGAGAAAAAAGGATAGAGAAAGAGAAGGAAGGAGAAAGAGAGAGAGTAGGAGAGTCAAGGAAAGAAGAGAGGATGGAAGGAAAGAAGGAGGTGGGCAGGAAGGAAGGAGGAAGAAAATTACATTAAGTTAGACTAACAGTCACCTCGTAACATATTTCAGATTGTCAATGTCCAAAATACTTTCTTTCCCTGTACTGAAGCATAGTCAGTTACAACATGTCAGTCTCCGCTGTACAGTACAATGCCCCAGCCATACACACACACACACACATTCACCTTCACAACACGCCTCTTGACAGATCTAGTTCAACTTGACAGGTAGGTACTGGAGAAGGTGAAGAAAGAAATATTTTCTGAACCCTTAATATATTCTAGACATTGGGCCACGTGTTAAGATAATTAAAATAAATAATAACAACAACAACAGTCAACACTTAACTAAATGCTCACCATGGGCCAGGCTTGTCCTAAGAGCTTAGCATAGGCTGTTTCACTTACCACACCATCTAATACCACAGTAGATGGTGTTAACACAGTAGACCGTGTTAACAGAGGCAGAAACCAAACCTCAGTGGGAAGAGCAGCTCATTCAACGATCATGTTGAACAGTGGCAGAGATGACTTTGAACACAAGTATAATCTGTAGTCTGTATTCTTTTTATCTTTTTTTTATCTAATAGTAATTCTATTCCATGCATGAAAGGTTTACTAATCTCTGTATGGATATGAAATTCGTCCCTGCCCTGAAGGTGCTTGTATTCACAAAATACCAGAAGTTTCTTGTTTAGATTTCTAGGTTAAATCCCACTCCACTTAAATGGAAGATGTAATCATTTCCAACCTTTCCTTCCATCCTCCTTTTACTCTATTTTTATGTCATATTATATTTTATGTTTATATTTATTTTACATTTACACTATATTTTACTATCTGTTTATCAAACTGTTTACAATGTATGAGGTCCTCCTGAGTGTTGGTCAAATGACAAAGCCACATGGATGGTCCTGAGCCCAATCCTGCTGCCTATGCACAAACTTCTCCAAGTCTGTCATACAGTTCCTGGGTTAAGTATCAGTAAAGCGTTGGGAAAGATGATCTTTTCCTTTATCTGTTTCAGAGTTGAGGACAACCAGGCCAGAGGGAATTTCAGGATTGGTGGATACACGTCAGTGTGATGAGGGTTGAGAACTTTACAGATTGGTGACTCCAACAGAAAGATAATTCTCCGTGGAACTCCGTTCTTGGAGAGCACTGTGACTCTGTGACAGTGACAGGTGTCGGGAATGTGGGAAGTAAACAACCCCAAGAGAAGGGGAAATCAGGGAGTTACAAAGCCAATACTAAGCGGTGAGTTAAGTAACTTTTAAATGAATTGGAGTGCTCTTTATAGCTAATTTCAACCACTGAAAATAAGCAGAATAGTGTTGTATGAGGTTAAGAATGTTGAAAGCGTGATCATGATGATAATAAAAATTACAATAACACGCACTTTGCGTATTTGCATATCATTCTTACTTTTCACTTCAGATCACATTGGAAGGCAGAATTCTAAAATGACCCCCACCTCCACGGCCCTCACTGTCAGAGGACCTCTTCCCCTTGGGTAAGGGAGGAAACTGTAAGCATGGGGAGATATCAAGGCAGGATCATGTTGATGATCTAACCAGCTAAAGGGGGTACCCTGCGTAGCCTGGGACCTGATCAGACAAGCCCCTTAAAGCAGAGTTTTCTTCATCTGGTGTTAAGGGACTGGAAGGCAGGGAGGCGTGCTCTTCCCGCCCTGGAAGAAAGCAACTGCCATGATACGGGAAGGGCCACATTGTGGGGACGGAGGGCAGCCTCTAATTGCTGAGAGCGACCCCTCGTTTACATTTAGCTAGAAGTGGAAACCGCAGTCCCACAACCATAAAGAAATGAAATTTGTTCAACAGCTGCATGAGAGAACCTGAGTTTCGGAAAGGGACACAGTGTAGAGGACACCTTGATTTCAACCTTGTGGGGCCCTGGGCAGAGAATTCAGCTGAGCTAGACCTGGACTTCTGACTCAGACAAACTATGAGATAACAAATGTGTTGTTTTAAGCTGCTAAGTGTGTGCTAATTTGCTATACAGCAATAAAAAACTACTGTAATATTTATTAAGCCATCTGGCCCTTGGGATAGCTTGTGAGATGAGATAATATAGGAATTACAACAAGGCGGGTGACTATTACGTTACTACAGATAACACATATATTCTTAGTATGATCTGAGTGCTGTTCTAGGACCTTTATAATCATAATCTCATAGACTTCCTACAACAGTGTTAAGAGGTAAGCAGATTTATTAGCCCCTCTTACAGGTGAGGAAACTGAGGCAGAAAAAAGCCAAGCGATTTGCGCAGGGTCACACAGATGACGAAACTGAAGCACAGGATTAGACTTGGATCCAAGTCTCTTAAGTTCCAGTTCCATGCTTTGGGTTTTGGTGCCTTAAGAGAGATCAGTCACACCTCAGATCTGGAAGCAAGTTCCAGGTGACTCAATAAGAAAACATTAATTAGACTATTGCAAATGATCTAACTTATTAAAACGGCATTATTCAAAGTCATACTTTTGTCAAAAAATAAAGTATTACAGTACTTCCACAATTATTAATATTGAGAATATGAAAGGATGGAGCTCGTCAATAAGCCACTCAAAGGACGCAAACAATCCCAAGGTGATTTCCACTGCAGACTAAAAATGCTACCACAGCAAAGGACCCATGCGTCCCTGAACCGTGGCCACCAAGAGGGAGCTGGGAGCTCTGGAGAATGCCCTGAAGTTACTACGGTTTCTCTTTAACCTTCTAAACCCATGCATTTGTGCATTAGCAGAGCAACTGAACAGGTTAGACCACCAGCTGTTGAAATAAAGCAGAGATTGCAACCTCCTGGTTTTCAAAAGAAAGCTCAAGTTAGGAATTTAAGTTTCCATTTTAGGAATGAGAAATCCAAAGAGTTGTTTACCAAGCCCTTCAGTGAGCTTTGGTTCCTAAAACACAGGCTGAGAGAGTCTATAAAGTCATTATCAAATTGAAGGAATAAATTCCTTGCATGTTTACTAACTGGTCACTAGATTCTATCACAAATTTTACAGAAAACCTACTGCCACCACCCACATACCTAGGGCACTCTCCTGAACGGAGGAATGAATGACAGGATTGGTTTTTGGTTGATTGATACAGCAAACATTTTTAAAGCTATGTGGTTAATTATGTGGTTGACTAAAGAATAAAACAGGGGTGCAGGCTGCTGAATAGAAAAGGTATTTTCTTGGATGAGCCATTACACAATATCAATTTAGAAACGTTTTAAAAAGGTAATCTGTCAGTTAATTGGAGGAAAAGAAGATATACTTATTTTAAGTTTAAAAAGAAGTACTGATAAGACTTTTACACACAAATAGTGTTAACAGCAAAAGAATAAAGGCTACTTTTAAAATTTACAGATACAAATGTTTTTGAAGTAATTGAATATTTCCCGGGGAAAAACTTAGATATACATATGTCACATTCTATGATTTCTAGGACTGCGGTACATTATACAGGCTGGAGGTTTAAAATTGAGTGATGAGTACTATTTTTAGGTAGCTTAGTTTTTAAAAAATTACTTTTGTCATACATATAAGAATAGACATGGTTCTGTTCTACTGTTTTGATTGATTTACAAAACATTTTCATGTTCACTCGTTTGTGTGGTTCCCATGGAAACGCTCTCAGGTGTACTATCACTGTCATTTTACTAATGACTCAGGAGACTTGAGGAAATTGTTTAAAGTCATGAAGACAGTAAGCAGGAGAGAAACAGGACGTCTTCTGACTCTCAGCTGCATTTTCTTTCCATTATCTTAAAGCTTTACTGCGCTTTCAAATTATTTTAGAGGCAATAACGAGAGGTCGGCGCGGGGAAATGCATTTCCAACGGGAGCCCTTAGATCAGTTCAGTATGAGCAGCACACAGGTAAGGGGATATTAAATCAGGGTCACAGAACTGAGTGTGGGGAGATGACGTGTCTTTGATTCTGGACATACAAGGAGGAAGCATTTGTCCAGGGACAATGGAGACTTCCCTGAGAAGGATGCGATGGCCACGTAAGTATTCCCTTAAATGGAAGGGCAGAGATGGGTGGCACGAGTTCCTTACGAGTCGGGGAAACAGAATAAAATTAGATTATGATGAGGGAGAAAAGAACCTTCCAGACCCAGGGACCCTCGTAAGAGAACCGTGGGGCCATAGTGGAGGTTCACCAGCAGTGGCTGCAGCCACCCTGCCCCCACACCCTGTGGCTGCCTCCTTCCCATGAAGTTTTACATCTTTGGTGAATTCAATCAGCCGCTCATTCAGGTGCTGCAGTGAGAACGTGGTCCCCTCCAGGCAATCCACAGCCTCCCTGAAAGGCGGCAGTGTGGTTTTCATTTTGAGACATCTAGAAAGCATAACGTTTTTCAACTTTATCTGGAAAAATACGTGAAAGTTCACTAACATTCAAATTTCTGTAATTTTTATTGTTCAGTTCACTTACTATCAACGTGCACAATGGTATGTCCATAAGTACACATACACACACAGTTTGAATCAGGAAAAATATTCTCCACACTGTAATGAATTAGTTTGTAAGACTTTAACACCTGGAAACATGAATGCCTCACGTACGTGTATATGCATAAGCAGTCTCTCGTGGCACACGGTGCTGGTATCGAGTGAAATGAGTAAACAAGCAGGGCAGCAGAGAACTACCATCCATTCTCCCTGTGGTTTATAGAATTTTAAAAAGATGGATCAGAATATACCCCACCAACATGAGGCAGAATATAATTGAGTTACCTGATGATTCAGATGACACTGAATGCTTCCACACGATCTCCCTTGCGGTATTTAGGTTTTACATAAGCATGATTAAAATAAAGACAAATCATAGAGAACTGTACATGTTCTGTTCGCATATTGTTAAGACCTCCAAAAACAAGTGTTTCA